TAGGGGGGTGGTTTGTTGTTTTTTTTTTGTTTTTGTTCTGTTTTGTGTTTTCTGCCTTTTTTGTTTTGTGGGTTTTTTTTTTTCTCTTACCCCTCCTTTATCCCCTTTGGGGGGGGTGTGTTTTTGGTGCGGGGGGGGGGGGGGGGGGGGGGGGGGGGGGGGGGGGGAGAGGGCTTCGGAGGTTTTCCCTTCAAAACTGCTCATGATACGGCCACAGAATAATTTACTCATCATTTCCAACATCTAGGAATAACTTGATTCACACAATGGCGTGATTATGACGTCATATTGTTGAATTTATTGGCAGAATCAAATTTCCATCAATTTTTCCCTTCAAAGAGATTAATATTTTACACATTAATAGCCGTTAACAATAGGAGTAATGTCACGTTGACGTCATTTATTATTGCAAATGCTTTTAATTTTACTATTAACCCGAATAAATCATAGATTTTTGAAAAAGGTCTAGCCAATAATTTTGGACAAAAATATTATTTCATACCGTTTTTTTGGCTTAAAAAGGGCAGGAAATATTGTTTTGTGATGTTTTATATCTACCTGGAGTTTTGAAAACCCGGTTGCCTGAAATCTTAAGTCATGTCCAGCAACCTTGCAGGCAATCTTTCAAACCATAATTTGCTTAAAGCCGGGATGCTTTTAATGTAAAATTAAAAGTCTCCCTCTTCAGGACTAACCACCCTCAGCTGTTAACCATGGGCTCGAAATAACTTCCTGGAATTGACAGAAATCAGTGGAAATTCCAGAAAATATGCACGAGGGGGCCGTCAACCTAAGTGTCATGTTGTTGCACAGACACAGGGCTATCATCCAGTATGCATTTGGGTAGCCTGGTTAAATTTCAGGGGTTGGAGTTGTTCTAAAGAGCATGTTTTGTGCTGGACTGTGGATTTGCTGAATTTTAGCATCGGAGCTTATACCTGTCTTAAAGCTCAGTGTCTCCCTCAAATTGAGGGGTTTGTGCCAAGCTACACAAGGCTATCATCTCTTATGCGTTTGGGATAGCCTGGTTAAACTCCAGGGGCCGGGGATTGTTTTAAAGTTTGATGTGTTTCCCCACTGTTAGGCATTTTTATTAATTTGTGCTGTTTGCATGCAAGCAATGATCATGACCCTCTGTGCTGGTAATGTTCCAAGTCAGCAAGCAGTTAAATTGGTGTTTGTAGGACGTATAGTAGTTTTGTTGAAAATGGGGTGAATTGGGGGAAATGGCTTTGCAATTGGTGACGTTAACACTAAAATTGTTCCTTAAAATGCCTTATTTTCCAGACTAATGAGGAAAGCTTTTTTTTCGTTACCTTCAAGACAGACGTTTCTATCAAGTGGAAGCTCGTGTATTCAAGAATTTCTTTTCAAGGAGAGATTTTACTTTTCCAGTAAGAAGGGGCACTAATTACCAATCAGTGCGAGAGACTGACACGTTTTAGTGCCCGGTGTTCACAACTTGAAACCAGGTATAAATAACATGCGATTCTAGCCTATTGACACGTAGCTCTTATATAGTAGCGAAATCGCATTTTCCAAAGGGGTTTAACCGATGATCTTGGCCAAAATGTTTTTTCGTAGTTCGTTTTTGGCTTAAGAAGACAACAGGCGTTTCTAGACAACAAAAATATTGATCTTATATAGTCGCGAACTTCAAAGTGGAAAGTGGAAAAAGCAAGAATGGAAAGCCCCGGCCAATACTGGCCCGTTTTCTGAGATACAAGGATGTCCAGAAAATATTTCCACTCGGGCACCGATTAAAAGAAACCGATTTCCAAATGTTCCGCGACTATCCTGCAGAAATTGTCAGAAGACGCAAAGAGCAGATGAAGACCTTCAAAGAGGCCAGAAGAAACAACATTCCTGCA